TTCAAAATTTTGCGTTACACCTCGTAAAAATATTAATAGTTGAGCAGTTGAACTTATATCTGTAGATTCGTCGAGCGCTATAGAAAAATACTCAAAACTTCTCGATTTCGTAGCTAATTGCTCTTCTATATTATCTGCTAATGCGGTAATTCTTCTTTGAACAGTCATCCGATTTAACTGAATTTTTTCAAACTTCTTTACATTTTCCGGACAAATTTTTTTTGCGGCGATATCCAAACATTGCTTAACAAACTCACCATCTTTAAAAGGCCGACAAGTTTTCGCTATTATTCGAGATATTTCAAAGCTAACTTCAGTGGCTGTTTCAGCATCTTGAATTGGTTTTGTAAACATAGATTGCTGGCCTATTAGTTCCCGTTGTAAAGTGGAAATTCTTTGCGTTCGATTTTCGCCAGTTAATTTGGTAAAAGTTGGATGCTGGGTTTCATAGTGCCTTTTCACATTATATTCCTTCGGAATAGAAACACTACTCTTGCATATTAAACAGACAATTTTGTTATGCGATGAAATAAAAAAGTATTTTTCGGTCCAAATATCATGAAACTGTCGATTTTCATCTTCAACCTTACGACTACGTTTCTTACTGGGGCCTGGTTTATCCATATCAAAATTAATATTATATGTTACAGTCGGTAAAAGCCAAGTTCGAACGACGAAATATTTACTCGTCACAGATTACAGTTCTCAAACAGTATAACGTTCGCTTATCCGTAGTCAAAACTTAACTGCCCCGGTAGCCGGCGATGCGTCGTATTTATACGAGTTACCAAACATCGAGAACCATCCACTTTGTTCGGGGATCGACGTGTTTCGCGGCGAGTAGAATACTTTTAAAATTCGTTGGCGAGCCGCATAAACATCGACAGTGGGCCGCGGTATGTGCATCTCTGCCCTAAACCCACGAATCTCAATCCCACAAAACCCGAACCTACAAACTCCAAGCTTACAAACCCCAAGTTTCTGCTTTCAAAAAAAAGTTAAATTTTGTTGGTCTGTGTTATAGGTGCTGAAATTTAGATCCTAAATATATAATTGTTCAATGAAAATGCTGATGATTGTTTAATGAAAATGTTAGCGTTAGTTTTTGTTGAGGAAAAAATTTTGAATGAAAGAAGGAAACAACGGAACATAAACTGTATTGTTATACAAGTTGAACTGTAACATTACAAAAACGCAAAGAACTATTCTTGAAATATGCCCCTTTCTTTTCTTCTCTCCAACAGTCTACCGGTCCTTAGTTCCACCAGGCAGTTGCCCGTGTTCATCTTGGTATCGGCTAGCAACTTGTATTCGGCCAACCTCACCTTAATCATTTCATTTAGGAATGTCATAGCCTCGGGATACGGCTCCAGGAACTCGTTCAGTTCCTTAAGCCTGATGGTGAAGAGTTCCGTCGTCTCGAGGATCAGTACGGTGTAGTTGTTCTTGTTCAAAATCTTCGAGATGAAGCCGAAAGCATCCCCGTCGCCGTAGTGGCACAACTCGATGCCCGTATTGTTGAAGATCGCCACCGACCCAGTGGAGATGAAGTATACGTATTCGTTGTAATTGTCGGTTCTCAGGACTACGTTGCCTGGAGCGAAAGTCTCAGTCTTCATCAGGGAAATCAGGGTGGCAGTCTCCCTCTGAGGCAGGTACTTGAAAATCTGAGATTTTTCAATGAGCATTCTGGCCGAATAAAGGAACAGTTCGTTCCTCAAGTTGTCGGACAAACTGTTGAGGATCTCCTCCTCGTTGAAGTAGCGCTTTTGCAGCTTGTGCTCGTAGTACCTAACCATTCGGTTTCTCATGGTGAAGGGCAGATCGTTGGCCTTCATGTATTCGTTGAGCTGTACCAAGTTCCTCTCGTAGCTGCTTTCCGACACTCCCACCACGCCGAACATCCTCAGCGCGTCCGCCACCAGGAACAAAGTGTACATTCTGCCGAAGAGAGTGATGAGACAGAAGCAGATCTGCTCGTTGGTTTGGTTGACGTTGTATTTGCCGGATGACGTGCCGAAGAAGAAGCACATCGTCATCAGGAAGCACTCTCTGTATATCGTTTGGATCGAAGGGTTTTGCGCAGGGTCCAGCTTGGCGACGACTATCCAGGAGTCGACCGGCCATTTCTGGTAATACACGACCATCGGGACGAAATATACCAAAGTACTAAACAGGTGTAAGTAGACGTAGGTCTTGAGGCAATAACCTAAGGATTTGCGTATCTTGCGTGAGACTTTAAACATGTGCAAGACGTCGTTCATGTAGGCCAAGATGGTGTTGACCCTGGCGTACAAGAAGAATACGTGAAGGTACTGTATTACCTTCATGAACCTCCAATTAGGAACTACCTTGAAAATCTGGAAGGGTAGCAACACTACATACTCGAGCCCGTCGGCCGCCAAGAGGTCGACGATGAAGAACGTCTTCAGGTACTTCTTGATGACACGCTTAGGCTCTATGACGATCTCTCTAGCCTCTACATCTATGTACCCAACGAAAAATAACGAAAAAATCAACACGTATTGAATCACGGGTAATACTAGATCGACGATTACCTTTAGCACGTAGTTCACCGGATCTGTAATCTCCAGGATGGGATCGGTGATCATCTTGACCATCCAGGTGATGAGAAAGGCCACCTCGTACGCCGAACTCAGTGTACTGTAAGGGTGGATCACGTAGTAGTACGGGCTATTTATGTGTCTTCTCTGTTCGGTCAAGATCATGGATTTGTTGCTGAAGAAAATCTTGCATCTGAAGTTCTTCGGGTTGACGATGATCAGCTTCCGGAAGCCCCGTCTCAAGCGCATACACCAGGAGGCGTTCGGCGGCAGCTTCTTCAAGTTGGAGTCGTTCCTGTGGGGGAGGCTGCATCTGTGGACCTGGACGTCCACCATTTTGTTAAGTGTCGCAATGGCAGGCAGAGGTCACTTTTGCGTATCGCGAGGCGGATGGTTGGTGTCTTAAACTTACTTCAACAAAGTCAATGGTTAATAGTTGATGTTTAGGAAATATGAAGCTTGTGACTTTTTTAATGACGTTTTGACAGATTTGTTAATTTAAAATATTTCAATTCGGCACAAGGTATATAAATGTTCAAGACGGTAATATTTTTTAAAACAATATTTATGTTATCTAAATGGAAAATATACCAAAACACTACTTTTTTTTTTAAACAAAACCTTCGTTTAGGATAAAACACCTAAAATTGCGGCAAAATATTAGGTGTAATCTTTAATGTACTAGATGTCATTAATTTGAGTTTGTAGAGAAAAAAAATCTAAGGTTGTCCTTAACAAAAATATCGAGATACCCTGATTGGACTGTTCTTAATTAGGCCAGAAAATATAGAGTTGAACGCTACTTTTTGTTTCGGCAAGCTGAATTTATCACTATAGATGCTAAATATTATGTACAATAACATATTAGTTTCCACAGTCCTAAAAATGGGGGGAAGATTGTTTACAGGGTGGTTAATTGTATAGTTTTTACGTAAATTCACGTTTTTTGGTTATAACTTTTTTCCGTTCATTTCCACGAGAAAACAGTAAGGTACTTTTTGTTGTCGTCTTCAAAAGACCTACAAAACTAGCCATAGAGCGTCAAAAAATATTGATTAGATCAAAAGTGACTTTTGAATTAAACATTTATAAACTGCGTTATTATTATCAGAACGTTTTGGCATCGCATCCTCTCATTCCTTATCAGTGTCTAATAACTCACGCGAAATCTGGAATCGGTAAGTTAAATAATTTACAAGTTATGGCCTTATAAACAAATTAACTAATTATCACAGGTCAACATTTGATCTAAGCGGGAACACCGTAATCGGTATAGGCTCCTAGGGGTTTTTGGGGTCGCTGATTACGATGAGAGGGTCAGTTAACCTCCATCACGTCAGGTTCAAGGTCATTTGAAGGTCAAATGCAGAAAAAGCCATGAAAAAATCTGAAAAAAATCATGGATATGTTTTTGAGGTAGAACAATCCGAATCTGAGGTCAGCTAAGCTCCACAAGGTCAAGGTCAAGGACATTTGAAGGTCAAATGCAGATAAAGCCATGAAAAAATCTGAAAAAAATCATGGATATGTTTTTGAGGTCGGACAATCCGAATCTGAGGTCAGCTAAGCTCCACAAGGTCAAGGTCATTTGAAGGTCAATTGCAGAAAAAGCCATGAAAAAATCTGAAAAAATCATGGATATGTTTTTGAGGTCGGACAATCCGAATCTGAGGTCAGATAAGCTCCACAAGGTCAAGGTCAAGGTCATTTGAAGGTCAAATGCAGAAAAAGCCATGGAAAAGTCTGACAAAATCATGGATATGTTTTTGAGGTCGAAGAATCCAAATCTGAGGTCAGCTGAGCTCCACAAGGTCAAGGTTTGAAATTAAAAAAAAAAAAATGGTAGATTTCAATGAAATATAATGATATTATGAAATCTACCATGAAAAAAATCAGTGCGATTGTGGAAGATTCTCGGGATCGTCCAGACTAATAATTAGTTAATTTGTTTATGAAGTCATAACTTGTAAATTATTCAACTTGGAATGAGAGGATGCGATGTCAAAATGTTCTGGTAATAATAACGCAGTTTATAAATGTTTAATTCAAAAGTCATAAATAAACTTCTTCTGTTTATAACTTTTGATCTAATCAATATATTTTGACGCTCAAGGGCTAGTTTTGTAGGTCTTTTGAAGAAGACGAAAAAAAGTCCTTTACTGTTTTCTCGTGGAAATGAACGGAAAAAAGTTATAAGCGAAAAACGTGAATTTACGTAAAAATTATACAATTAACCTAATATGTTTTGTACATAATATTTAGCATCTATAGTGATAAATTCAGCTTGCCGAAACAAAAAGTCGCGAAATGGTCATTTCCCCGCTTATTTTCCTGGCCTATAATATTTAAGAATTGAATCAGGGCATATATTCAGTTCTACGATTAGGTTCTTCGTATATTATACAGAAAAGGACTTGATCTAACTTAACTTATTGTTATATATTATTTAAAAAAACCTTACCTAACCTAACCAAACTTTATGTAGAAATCTGTAACTTTAAATGTTGCTTAATATTAGTCCAGGGAACGAAGAGAAAAAATAGAGTAAAGCCTACGAATACCTTCGGCTAGAATCGATTTTTATAAAAATTTGGAATTAAGCTTATTTTATCCTGTAGATGAAAAGTTATATATTATATGCTTCTTATTTTTAAGGGATGTTAAAAAACTAAATAAATATAAAAATAGGTGTTATATAAGCTAAAATCATATCTTAATGTATAGAATAAACATTGTTTTATATTGTGGGTTATAATTTACCTAATTTTTATAAAGTTTCAACCCTTAAAAGCCACCCTTAATGATAAAAATATAAAATTAATAGTTTATTTGACCTTAAAATATTTTTATAGAGCGTATACTATAGATAGAAATCTTTTCAATAGTTTATTGTGTTATAAATAATTTATTACAGTATTTCAAGCTTTAAAAAACTACCCCTAATAACAAAATATTAAGAATTAGTTTTTAACAGGTTGAAATAGTACAAAGAGAATAAATTAAATTCTTTTAATTTATAATTTATCGTATTGTTTTAACTCTTAAAAACCACCACAATGACAAAATAAAAAAATGCCTTTTAAATTATTTAAAATTTGTTCAGGCTACCGAGATTATGGTTAATCTTTGTTTAGACAGTATCTTACTCTTTTCTTTTCAAATGTTCTACGAAGAGGATATCATCAAACTTTCTGAAATATTAAAAAAGTCACCGAGAAAAACATTTTCAGCATAAATTTAAATTAAACCTCTGGATTGGTTTTGTCAGTAACTTTCTGCTTGGTGCGATTAGATTACCAAATCGTCTCGATGGCATCTAGACTCGCAATGTAACACAATATTTAATTGATCAATGTCCAGGTAGATGCATAGGCAATTCACTGGCCATCATGTTCAAATCACTTAAATCCTTGTGATTTTTTTGTTTGGGTGGCTTTAAAACAGAATTGTATTTCGTGAGTATTGATAGTGAGAGACAACAGCGGAAGAAGATTGAAGATGCTGTTCACAGTTTGCAGAATGGAGGAATTCTGAGAAGAGCGCATTTTGATTTCAGGAAAGCGCACAAGGGATATTGGACACCCTTACTAGACGAACGGTCCACCCCTAAAAAGATGCTTAGAAAATCAAGGTCACCGACCACGAGGAGAGGCCAGGATGAAACCTTTTGTAATCGATGCATGTTCAAATGACTCAAATCCCTGTGAATTTTTTATTTGGGTGGTTTAAAACAGAATTGTATTTCGTGAGCATTGATAGTGAGAGACAACAGTGGAAGAAGATTGAAGATGCTGTTCACAGTTTGCAGAATGGAGGAAATCTCATAAGAGCGCATTTTGATCTCAGGAACTATACTATACGCTGAGCATAATTGCACGTACTTAAAGGAATCTTAATCACTAACTCCTGACGCGTCTGTCAAAAGCCGATCGAATGTCGCGCGTTTCAAGATTGTTGAAAAACAACCATGCCTGCACTCTGCCCGAGAAGGACACCACCGGGTTGCCGAAACTCCCGCCCAACGCCACCTGGGGCAGCAAAGTTTTCCGGCACATACGGAAACTCTTCATCCTGAACCCGAACCACTTCAAATGCAAGAGCCTGTTCCGCAACAAGTCGGCTGTAATGGAGGAGAGGAAGAGGCACGCTACCAGTCGCTATTTCTACGTGATCCACCCACTGAGCAGGTTCAACATGTTCCTGGAGGCGACGTTCTTCATCACGTGGGCCTACGCCATAGTATGCGGCATGCTGACCATTTGGTTAGGCGGCTTTCTCATAATACAAATCTACGTGATCTTCCCTATTCGTGTGTTATTGATTCTGCTTTTCTTCAACGTCGGATACATCGACAAGAAAACGAAGCAGATCGTCATCGAATCCCGCAAGATCATCGTCAAATACTTAAAGACCTATTTCGTGTTCGACATTTTCTCGTGTTATGTGCTAGATATATTCACTGATATATGGATAGCCGTGACTGGTAAGTTTCCTCTAGAGTCGCAGGAGATCTGGCATGAGGTCATGTTAATTATACGAATGGCAGCGTCATGCGTTAGGATAAACACTTTGTTGAATTTCTTCAACAACACCCTTTCTGGTCTCAATTGTAACAAGACCATGAGGATCCTCTTGGTTTACCTGATGAGGACTTACATCTACGTCCACATCTTCGCGTTGCTCCTGTTCCTGATACCGTTCTTTCTGCATTCGAAGAATTGGCCGCCTTCTTCGTGGCTGCATCAGGCCAACATAAACGTGGAATCCACGGATCCTTTCGTCATATACTTGGAGGCCTTGATATTATCCATCTGCTATTTCTTCGGAGTGGCTTACAAGTACGACATAACGCTGCTCAACGAACAGATGGTTCTTGTGTTAGTGTCCTTCATCGGGAGGTTGTACACCCTTTACCTTCTCGCTGACGTTCTCAGGGTGTTCGGCATAGCCGGGGTTTCGGAAAGCATGTACGAGAGGAACATGTACGTCCTAAACCAGTATATGACAGATAAGGATCTACCGTCGAAGCTCCAGGCCAGGATGCTCAAGTACTTCGAGTTTAAGTTCCAGAGGCGATACTTTAAGGAGAAGGAAATCATCAACACCCTTTCCGATACGTTACGCACGGAACTGTTCCTTTTCTCAGCGAGGAAGCTGATACAGAAGGTGGATATATTGAAGAGGCTGCCCAACGCTACTGTGGGGGCCATAATAGCGTCCATGAAATCGGAGACGTACTCGCCGAGGGACGTAATCCTCAAGCTGGGCTGGGAGACCAACGAGATCTACTTCATATCCACCGGTACAGTGGCCGTGTTGAACAAGCACGGCGTCGAGCTGTGCCACTTGGAGGACGGGGACGAGTTCGGCATCAGCTGCCTAGTGGCCAGGGAGCAGATCCACACGATCGTGGCGGTTGAGACGACGGAGGTGTTTATCATAGGGAAGAACCAGCTGATAGAGTTTCTGGGGCCCTATCCCGATTTGCTCAACAGGTTCATCCGTACCGCTAAGCAGAAGCTGTCTAGTATGAAGGATTTGGAGGCTGCTGCCTCTAGGGAGACCGTGGACCTGTTGTCGGAGCTTCAAAGAGGAAACATCCTCGAGACGCGGAGCAAGAAGATGGTGGCTTATTGAAGCCGCGCTTGGTTCAATTTTTTATTACGGTTCTAGTTATACTATTATGGTTTATGGGGTTTGTGACGTTTCGTTTTATGTCAGGTTAAGGTGTGCCTGTAATGTGAATAAAACATTTGGAATAACATATTAGTTTTATTTTTTCTTCAAGCGTATAATAATACTTATATTATATAGTGCAACACCTCCTTTAGAAGCAGCCTATTGTTTAACTAGTACAAATATTTTTCATTTTTTAACTAGTAAAAAAATGTAACAATGTGTAGGTAAGTATCCTAGCAACGAATTAAAGATTCAAGAAGCTTTGACGTTTCATTAAGTGTCAGTTGAAATTTGATGTCGCGTCGGGTCGTTTTTAAAATGTCTGAAGAAATGCAGTGCACACCACCAGAATTACTGGAAATTGCAAATACATCAGTGGCAACACTTATACCAACAAAGTCGAGAAAAATTTATGAAAATGCTTATGATAAATTCATAAATTGGGCAAAAGAAAATAATGCACATATTTATTCAGAAAATGTGATGATAGCATATTTTACAAGATTATCCAGAACACTGAAAAGTTCAACTTTATGGGCGCAATATTCAATGGTAAAATCTAAATTAAACATAGAACACAATGTAAATATTGAGAAATATTCAAAATTAATTACATTTTTGAAACGACAAGGTGAAAATTATAAACCAAAAAAGTCGAAAGTTTTGTCTAAAAAAGAATTTGACGAATTCCTGAATAAAGCACCTGATGATAAATATTTAGCAACCAAGGTATGTACTTTTTAAATTATAGGTAGATATATATTTAACCTTTTTATATTTGTAATACAAAATTTTGTTATAATTTGTAAACTTCAAGTTATTTTATAGTATCCATTACGAGAATAATAAACAATTTTCGGAAATAAAGATAGCTCATTGGAAGAATGTTGTAAAAACTCATAAATATAGATGTCTTAAAATTACGTCATGTTTTAGAATTTCCTTGCATTTTCCAACTTTTTTTATTGTTACAAAATTAATAATTCTATATTTTTTAGGTTGCACTAATATTTGGAGTCACAGGAGCTTGTAGATGCGATGAACTCATTCAAGTAAAAGTTAATGATGTAAAAGATTTGGGAAATATAATATTAGTAAATATTCCCAATACAAAAACTAAAAAACATCGTTCATTTACCATAATTGGAGAGTTTTATTTAAATTTATACAGAAAATATGCTACTCTTCGGCCAAAAGACATAACTTTTGATAGATTTTTTATTAAATATCAAAATGGCCATTGTCATCGTGTTGTAATGGGCATACATAAAATTTCAAAAGTGCCAAAAGATGTTGCATCATTTTTAAGGTTGCCAAATCCACATGAATATACGGGGCATTGCCTTAGAAGAACCTCGGCAACTATCTTAGTTGATAATGGTGGAGACATTACAACCCTAAAGCGACATGGTGGATGGAAATCTACCAGCGTCGCTGAAGGATACATTGAAGATTCTGTAAACAATAAGAAACAGATAGCGATGAAAATATTAAACCCATTAGAGTATAATGAACCAAGTACATCAAGCGAAACTGTAAATATTGATCCTGAAAATAATTTAATCGAAGACTTTTCTGTTAATAATGGTACAATTGTTAACACTGAAACTGAGAACCTTATTACAAGTAACGTATTCAACGACAGAACTGTAAACTTTGAAAAAAAGACAGCCAGCAGCGCTTTAAATATCAACAACTGTACCATACAAAATTGCACATTTAATATTCATGTTAATAAATAAAGTTTGATGATAGACATGTAGGTAATTTAGATGTTTATTCGTTTAATTCAAATTAAAGAAAAATAATTGTTACATTTGTTTTTTTATTCATGAATAAAGTGGTTAAAACTGTCATGTTTAATTAATCAATAAAATGTATAAAATGTATAAAATAAATAGTATTACCTACCTACTGATTTTATTTTGTGCTGAGATTGAACATCGCGTTATCCGCTATAAATTTTCAAAATTAGTAATTTTTTATATTCACGCTTGAAGAAAAAATAGTATATGTCACTCGGAGTGGAAGGCTCATTATGTGTTTTGCCCAATTTGCTCAGCCTCGGCTAACGCCTCGGCGAGCAAACTTTTGGGCTCAACACATAATGATCGCCTTCTACTCCTAGTAACATAATATACTATTATTGTCACGTAGAAAGTGGTTAAAAAGTCCTAGGTCACGACTTGTGGCTATACAGGGCTGCTCTGGGGGTTTTATTAAAATTTACGGTGGTCGTAGATTTAGAATCATTTCTGACAATTCATTTATAAGCCAATCAATATAGGTTTATTGTGCAACAAAAATACTAACAGCATACCACCTGTGCCATCATTTAAAAGACAGTCCGTAGATATACTCTGATGTGTTTTCGACTCGCAACTCTCGTAGCAAACATTTTGCTAACGTTCCATGTCAATACTATCGAAAAGTTGACCGATAGAGATAATGCGTGCATTCAAGCCAACGGACGTAATTTTGAACAGTTTCTATAAATTTTACTCGCCAAATTGATAAGAAAAAGTTAAAATCCTATCTGTTGTTAAATTTCGTTAAAATTGTTAATTATTGCTACCTATTTTTTGAATTACAAAAGATTTTCGAAACGTTCTTCTAAATAAAATAGTACGCCACTGCTTTACGGTAATACCCATAATATTTTCGGATAGACTTATAGAAATCATGAAAAGACAAATGTTTGAGTTATTTTTCTAGTTTTTATTAGAAAACCAATTTGAAACAGTAATAAGTCAACAAATAACCTAAAATGCTACAAATTTACAATCTACCTACTTATTAATATTAACATTAACATTTATAGTAAAGCCTTTGATTTTCGAATCTCGAAATTCCTTCAGTTCTTTGTTGTATAAAGATTTTGATTTCTCCGGAATGATGCCTGCATTAGCTTTTTCTAAAATTTCAGATGGAATTTCCACATTTTCCGTTTTTTCTGTCTTGGTTTTAGGATTTCAATGTGATTTCAACTAAAAAATATTGTTTGTTTACTGACAACCCTTCATTACAGACACAATTTAGGTTGACACTCGCATCCTTTGTAATACTTAAAAATACATTCATTTCGTTAAATTACTTTTTCTGACATTGACAACTTGAAATTTTAAGTTACTTTTATTTATTATTAAAACGAAATTCTATGAGTAAATTCAGCAAATTGAAAGACTCTGGTAATATTTCAGATGAATTTTATTATTCAATCCCCTACCCCTCAGTTCTTCCCCTAAATCAGGGGATGATAAAAACAGCTCCTTAAAAGGAGTTTTTTGTTTCAGTGATGCTTTTATTCGTGTTCAGCGACGACAAGAACCTTTTATGCATATTTTCTTTGATTTTCATTTTTCCACACCCTCACCCCTAAAATAGGGGAAAATTTTTCCATAACATGATTCAATTTAGCATTGATTCCACCATAATGTGTCTTAATTTCACTGTATTTATCGAAGATATAAGATTTTTAAACGAAGAAAATCGATTTTCACTTTTTTCACCTATTCACCCTTCATTTCCACCCCCAAAATAGGGGATGATGACATTCACAATAATTTTCCCTAAGTCTGCATCAAATAAGCTTTAATTAAAAAAAAAATGTACAACGATTCGTTAATTCTTCTTCGAGATATTTGTTTTTGACATAAAAAAATGCCGTTTGACCTATAGTGCGCCATCAATCACTCCGGACCTCAACCCACTTTTTTTTTTTTGGTGGCGGTGTGTAATAAAACCAGTCCACTTTACTTTTTTGACGGGGCCCGCCGGCTCGAGCCGGTCCTGGCGTGACTCCGCGGGATCCGTCCTCGGTTATTAGCGCTTCTACTGTTGAATTTCTCTCAGGAGATGCCGTCAGAGGCCACCGGAACCGGTCGGTTTCGGCGACACCGCTTTCTGGGAACCTGGTGGTCGGGGCATGCGAAACATCCCTGGCGGGAGTAATTAAAAAACAAACATACTCCTCGACATTGTGTAGACGATGTTACGGCGCTTTTTCAGGGGGCCCTCGCCTCCGACACGTATGAGCGGCCGGCTGTTATGGCGCTACCGGGAAACGGACGGCGGGATGGACCGTTTTTTGTCCCAGACCTGGTGCCCATCGTTTGAAGGGTCAGTACTGATCCGTGCGAGTCAGAGGCGCAGAGGGATGGGGGAGAAGTTCAGTCTGAAGTTAAAGTTATAAGAACTTACTCAGGAACGTCCTCGTGGTGTAATATACAGTGTGGCACACGCCCAATCAAGTAAAATGGCGTGCTACTTTTATTGAAACTTAAACGAGAATTTAATTCTTTTAACTAAAATGAACTATGAAACAATACCAAATAAGTAATCTAACAGAAAACCTAAATAGTAATAAATGAAATACACAAAAATAACTAAATAGTCTTAATTGTCAGTGTTGCGAGAAACAACTACTCCGAGGGCTATATGTCCCTACCGGCATTGAATTATACTCGCAACACCTAGGGCAACAGCTAGGATCGTTCGTCAGTTTAACCCACCAGGTTAGTCCTTATCAGTGTGTCATAGGTGAGACAACCGACGAACGATCCAGCTGTTTTGCGTTGTATCATCACGACAAGGAAATACACTGTACGCGGGAGCGCAAATGGCTCCATCTGTCGTGCTGAGTTATGTATGACCAAGTGATGGTAGTAGTTAATAATAATAAATGTTTTATTGTAACGCATGATGATTGAAATAACTAGATGGATTTCACGACTAGCAGGTTGTGCTCTCGATCGCACTAAATGACGTCACAAGGCGTTCTTGATCAGGTGACAAAATTTAACTATAATTAATTTTTTACCACTATTATTAGTTGTTGTCGGTTATAGACTATAAATTTATGCAGTTCTAGAATAAATTAAATTTTGATGAAGTTGTCTATGCCTCGAAGGAACTTCGGAAGTATTTTTTATCAAAAAAAATAGCTGTCACTGTTTCCC